TGGATTGGGCTTGGGGGGCGCCCCCTCCCTTGCTCCTTTCCCCTCCTTTCCACTAAAGCCCATTAAGGCCCATATACCTCCCGGGGGTTCCAATAACCTCCCGGTGCTCCGGTATTATCCCGATCTCACCCGAAACCATTCCAGTATCCAAATGTAGTCGTCCAATATATTGATCTTTACATCTTGAACATTTCGAGACTCCTCATCATGTCCATGATCACATCCGGGACTCCGAACTACCTTCGGTACATCAAAAACCATAAACTCATAATATAACCGTCATCGAACTTTAAGCGTGCGGACCCTACGGGTTCGAGAACTATGTAGACATGACCGAGACACGTCTCCGGTCAATAACCAATAGCAGAACCTGGATGCTCATATTGGCTCCTACATATTCTACGAAGATCTTTATCGGTCAAACCGCATAACAACATATGTTGTTCCTTTTGTCATCGGTATGTTACTTGCCCGAGATTCGATCGTCGGTATCTCAATACCTAGTTCAATCTCGTTACCGGAAAGTCTCTTTACTCATTCCGTAACACATCATCCCGCAACTAACCCATTAGTTGCAATGCTTGCAAGGCTTAAGTGATGTGTATTACCGAGTGGCCCCAGAGATACCTCTCCGACAATCGGAGTGACAAATCCTAATCTCGAAATACGCCAACACAACAAATACCTTTGGAGACACATGTAGAGCACCTTTATGATCACCCAGTTACGTTGTGACATTTGGTAGCACACAAAGTGTTCCTCTGGTAAACGGGAGTTGCATAATCTCATAGTCATAGGAACATGTATAAGTCATGAAGAAAGCAATAGCAACAAATTAAACGATCAAGTGCTAAGCTAATGGAATGGGTCAAGTCAATCACATCATTCTCCTAATGATGTGATCCCGTTAATCAAATGACAACTCTTTGTCTATGGCTAGGAAACATAACCATCTTTGATCAACGAGGTAGTCAAGTAGAGGCATACTAGTGACACTCTGTTTGTGTATGTATTCACACATGTATCATGTTTCCGGTTAATACAATTCTAGCATGAATAATAAATATTTATCATGATATAAGGAAATAAATAATAAATTTATTATTGCCTCTAGGGCATATTTCCTTCAGGACATGCTATATACGAAATTGTTCCACAATACAAGTATAAGACCAATTAAATCTCTCATGAACGTCACATTCGCCGGAAAGGATTCCATAACCATGGCGATAGTATCACCCTTGTGACGCACAATATTGTACAGGGCAGGATATTGTTCCCAGAGAGTGACATTGCCTAGCCACTTATCCTCCCAGAACCTAATCTCTGATCCGTCTTTAATGGCGAAGGATCCGTAGCGGAAGAAATATTTGTTCGTGGCCGTTAGACCAACCCAGTGTGAGTCTCCAGGCTTTCAATATACTTGGGACACTGCCTTTGATCCCGCATATTTTCTTTTTAGGAGGGTTTGCCATACACCATCTTATGTAAGTAACTTAAATAGCCATTTGCCAAGTAGGGCCGTATTTTTAACCTCAAGGTCATGAATGCGTAGCCCTCCTTGGTCTTTGGGATGACAAACCACACTCCATTTAGCGAGTCGATATTTCTTCTTTTCGCTATCTCCTTGCCAAAAGAATCTTGATCGGAAAAATCCAATCGATGTAAAACTCCTTTAGACAATTGGAAGAAGGAAATCATATACAATACCATATTACTTAGCACTGACTTTATGAGGATCAATCTTCCACCTAGAGATAACAGTTTACCTTTCCAACTACTTATTCGTTTTTGTAGTCTCTTGACATGTTTCCATTCAGTATTTGTGAGACGCAGATAGTGTATCGGTATCCCTAAGTAGTCATCAGAAACTGGCCTAGCCCGCAGTCAAACAAGTCAGTGTACAGGTGAGCCTCATTTTGGGCCTCGCTGAAACAATACAACTCACTCTTATGGAAGTTTATCATAAGACCTGACAGATGCTCGAAGGCTGACAAAATTAATTTCTGATTTCTCGCTCTATCAAGGTTATGGTCCATAAGGTTGCCTGTAATGGGAGTATCATAGGTAGTATCATGCATGCCAACTAAGAAATTTTGTTGAGGTGGCATAGAATTAAATGAAAAAAGAGATGCTTAAGTATCATATCATGATATCGTATCACATTAAATAATATACTACTTTGTGTCATGCATAAATGTAGTCATCCATGATATCAACATATGATATTATGCATTACGGATATAGTATCATACACTAGTATCATATGCATGATACCAGTATATGATACAACCCATTACAACCAGCCTAAAGAGAATCGTATCGTCGACATGCTGAAGGATAGAAAGACCACCATCTATAAGGTGATTAACTACCCATCAATTTGGTCATCAACCTTTGCACGCTCAATCATAACAGCTATCATATCAACCACTATATTAAATAGCATGGGCGATAATGAGTCACCTTGTCTCAATCATTTCTTCGTTTGGAAGTAGTGGCCAACGTCATCATTGACTTTAATGGCCACACGCCCTCTAGAAACGAATCTATGGATCAGAGCGTGCCATTCTGCAGAGAGGCCTTTTATTCTGAGAGTTTGTTGGGGAAAAGACCAATTGACTTTATCATATGCCTTTTCAAAGTCAATGAGTATTACCCCATATATTTCATTATGGTGGCCAATATCTGAAGCAAGTTAGTAGGTCAAAGGTTATACTTCATTAGGGCTCACATGGTAGTAAACTAGTAATCTCAATCTTAGATCGGTGAAATTAGAACTTGGGTCCTAAGGGCTGTTTAAATGAGACGACCCACCATCTTATCCGACATGGCCTCTCATCTTCACATTTAGTCATATTCAACACTTTAACACCACAAGATCATGATCAACTACCAACTTCCATACATCTCCCAAGATGGATCAAGACTTACACGAGACTAAGCATGGCTAAGAAGAACATGGAGTAGGGCAAATATTATTGTAACATCAGGCAACTCCTAATTATGCTAGGATCATTGATAAAGGCCATATGAGGTTACAAGGATGTTTCATGCAAAGGATGGGCGGATCTTAGCATCATAGTAACACAGTTGAATCGATAAAGCTAATGTACTACAAGAGGGAGCAAACAAAAGTAGGATTATCAAGATGGTCAAGGGGTTTTTCTTGCATGTTATCACTGCTTTGGCACTTCTCAACTGTTGTTTGTTTCTCATGTCATCTCGGGATCCTATTCGAGAAGAAGCAAAACACTGGAAAAGAGCAAGGCATGGCACTTAGATCTTCTTCAAAGATATAGGCATGTTCATGATATGTAATGCATCAAAAAAAAATTTGAATATATGCAATGTGTCACATGACATATGGTTTTCAGTATTTGACCTAATGCAACAATTTACAAATTAATTGAAGTTGAAATGCACTGGTTGTAGCATTATAGCAACTCTGAAAATTTATAAAAGGCCATTTAAGTTGTTTAACCTAATCAGGTATTTTCAGTGTATTTCTCATTAATGCAAAGTAGATGAACAGATGAGTGCTATTTTTCTAAACATTTGATATATCATACATATTTTCTGAGTTCGTAAGAATTAGTTGGGATTTTTCAAACTTTAAAAGTACTAGCAAAAGGGCATGTGTGTTGCAACAAGAGAAAAAGAAAATTATAATCTCCAATGACCATGATCACATTTTGCTTCATCACCGAGATACATTATCACTCTCAATTTCATGAAATCACAAACATTTTTGTAACTCGTGAACATATTTGAAATCATGACATTTTTCAAATTCATGGGATAAGGTTTTGGGCTAGGGGAGGGCGTTGGCCACGCGAGCGAGCAAGGTCGACGATGAGTAAACGCGCATGTAAGGGCATGTATAATGGTTGACAAAGTTGTCTTATCTTATGTTTGACACGTAATCTAGATAAGACAATAAAAAGTGATGTACAATGATTATTCTTAGTTTTGTCTTCAATAACTAGATATCTCTAAATATGTGGTGAGACAATTGGTGCTAAGAGATCATCTCTTAATTAAAAGAAGGCAAACATTTTCTTACGGTTTCTCTCTCTTCTACCTCAGCAATTATCCTACGTGGTACTTTTAAGATAGCACTATTGTACATGCCCTAATGACCACACACTGGTCTACTAGCACGAGGTTGAAGAATGAGGTAGTAACGCTAGGTGGACTGGGCCCGAGGGAGAGAACATGGGTCGTGGGTGGCTATTTTGGCTCAGTTGCTCCGGGAATAGAGTTTAATTTATTCTTTCACTTTTATTTTGATTTAAACAACTTCCAGATTATTTGAAAATTCTAGTGAGGTCTAAATCTACTAAAATAATACATGGCTTGATGAAATTATTTTAAGTCCAAATAAAATATTATTTTGTGACTTACAATTTATAATTCTGACTCAGGTTTGATTTAAATATGTAATCTTTCTTTTCAAAAAAAATGTTTGATTTAAATTGGGGTTTAAACTACAAATATGTAATATGTATTTTCAAAATTAATGAAAATTTTATTGTAGTTTCCTAATATTATTGGAATACTATTCAAGAGATTTCACAACGAGAAATTCTCTCAATTTAATAGAACTTCGGTCTATCATTTAGTTGTTATTGAGAGTTGAAAATTATTTGGGAGTTTTGTGCATTCAAAGTTCATGAGAAATTGCAGGGAGAGGGAAACTATGATAAATATTTCAAGATTTCTGAAGGACATATATTAGTGCATTGATTTTCTTGGTGCATTTTGCAGCATTTCAAGAGGTTTTGAGCTATTCACAATTTCACAATTAAACAAGTTATTGAAAAGGCCGGCGCAACAGTACAAGTCTCGGGTGTTTATCAAAAAATAAAACAGAAGAGTACCAAGTCTAAGGCTATAGAAGTCTTACAGGGCAAAACAACACACGCTCCTAAACGCACTCCATCAAAGTTAACAAATCCATCACCTAGCACGACGAAAAATGCAAGGCAAGGTAAAAACTAGTAGGGCCGATAACGCCGGTGGCTTCCCTCGCCGCCTCGGCCACCGCCATCTCGCCGGTCACCACGTCGAGGAGGGGGTGGAGGCGGCATTCCACCAGGTTGTTGCCTAGCAACATTAGCAACACATTGTCAAGGAATTGAAGATGTGTATGCATGGACACTAGTATGTAGAAAAACAGTCTTACAGAACATAGCCAAGGCGACCGTCAGGGAGCACCATCGGTACCATCCTCATTCCAGCTGGTGCTGGTCCTCTACCATAGATCATAGGCTGCGAAAAAAGGATGTGGGTAAAGCCAAAGAAATACATAGCACGGTACTCTACATGAGTTATTAACTTGTGATGTCTTACCTGGTTGAATCCAGGGCCACCACCATAGGCACCATATGGGTCTCCCATGTAGCCACCATAAGGTGGAAGAGGATAGCTAGGAGCTCCTCCAGGCTTGAACGAGTGGTCAGGTTTCTTATCACTCAAAGGTTTGGCCATGGAAACTTCGAGCACTTGCCCTGTATTTCAGACAGCCACCAATTAACCGTGGTACTGCTTGAACAATTTTTCAGGTGTAGCAGTTCATGCTGGAATAAATCTAATTTTACTACGATAGATATTCCTTGAAATATAAACCAACAACTAATTCCTCATGAACTGTTAGTACTCCCACATAATCATTACATTCATTCATGTTAACCGATTCCAACAAGAAGACAAAACTCTACAACACTAAATTTCATTTGATAATGAAATGACAAAATGAAAATTACCATCAATTTCGTATTTTTCACTTCCTTTAACTGCCTTCAGTGCACTTGATCTTTCAGCGAAGTGAACAAACCCAAAATCCCTCTTATGCCCGGCCTTAGCAGGCGGTAAAACAATTTTTGTAACCTCTCCATGAACTTCAAAGAGATCCTTAACTTTCTCTTTAGAAACATTCTCCGGCAGGTTCTTCACATATATAGTCTTCACCTGTGAAGAAAATAAGTGTTACAGATGTTCAGCAGACTTGAACAAAATCCGATGTACTCGTAATCTGGATGTACTAAATTATAGGTATGAAAACAAAAAATAACAAGACAATACAGCCTTAAATAGAATGGATATTTCATCCGTCACAGAATGGAGTTTGCTAGGCTGGGCTGATGTAAATTAAAAAATGACTTCAAAGTCAGGATATTATGTTAGTGCAATCAACAACTTCTTGCATATGCTGCAAAAAAAGAAGTCGCTGCGTATCTGATTCCTGACGTGATGTACAGAAGATGAAGTCAGACTGCAGTTATTACTTTCTTTTTCTATGCACAACAAATTATGAACAAGGATTATTCAAATCTAATGCACAATACTTGAAGAGCTATTGTAAGCCACAAAAAGAACAAGGAAACATCAGTTACATCTAATATACTATCTATTTGGAAAATTATGCTCCAGCAAACCTTAATGTGAAAAATGGTATGGTAAGGATGTTAAAATTAAGATCCAAATAAGCCATGCTCCCATAGTTTCATTTAAGCGGCTTCTGTTTGTGTCTCGCAAATAGCAGCATAAAAACACAAGCAAGGTACTTCTGTCACTAAATTAGCCAATCCAACTATCAATATAAGCAGGTCTTAATAAGGATCGCTGCCTCAGATTGTAGTGCTACACAACGTACATTGAAATACAACGCTATGCTTTACAGTTCAATTTTTCATGCAGTGTCTACCTGAGCAGCAGATGAAGAAGAATCTGATGATGACGATGATGAGCCCTTAGGTTCAGCCCAGCTAACAGTCAACTGGCTTCCATCAACCTTAAAGTCTGGTGATGACAATTTCTGCCTGGCATAGTCTGCGCAAGCATGGTTATAGTACTCAACGAAGAGGAACCCGCGGTTACGGCTTGGGTCATGCAAATCCTGCAAGGCAGTTTCTATTAGCAAATCTGGAACCTCCCTGCCACAAAACAAGAACAGATTACAACCGCACCTTGAACATCTCAATATTCACGACCCCTGGCCCCTTCCCTTTGATTATGCTCGTCAGCTCGTCCTCACTCAACCCTTTGGGTACATTGCCAACAAATAACCTGTGCTTGGCCTGGGACAATGAGCATCGCAGTGTTCTCCCCTGCACAGAAGTATCCATTGTTATGGATCAGAAATCACTGTTATCCAGAGTATCCTGCAAAGATAACACATACTACCTTGTGGTCCTTGTCATGCAGTTCTTCGATAGCACGCTGCGCCACATCCTTGGCAGTAAATGTGACAAAGGCAAATCCTTTGTTTTCCTTTGTTTCCTTATCCTTCATCAACCTCACCTGTTAAACCATCGCACCCATCACATAACATACTCTGTGTTACAAAGCAAATAACCAATATGAGAAGGCTGTGAGCTTTCAGCACCTCAAAGATTTCGCCCAATGGCTCGCATAGCTCGCGGAGGTCCTCCTCGGTGGTGTCTCGGGGGAGGCCCCCGACGAATACCTCCGAGCCCTGCGGGGGTAGTGCGAGGAGCTCCTCCCACTTCATTTTCTCTTCTTCGTCCTCAGGCCCATCACCCTTCTCCATCTCGTCACCACTTCCTACGGCAGGTTCATCACTGGCAACCACCATACCGGCGTCCTCCTCCCGGCCATCTCCATCGCCATCGCCCTCGACCTCGATTTGAGGCTCCTCGGGCTCCTCCTCCGGCTCATCAGAGTCCTCGCCACCGTGGCGGCGGCGGCGGTAACCTTCCTCGTCGTCCATGACGTCGTCGTCTCCCTCCAGGTCCACCTGCTCCTCCGGCTCCTCGGACGGCTGCCGATCCGACATCCCAAAACCCTAACCCTAGACAAACGAAAATCCCCGAACCATCAGATGTCGCCCGCGAAATCCGCATTAAACCGCAGAAATTCACAGTGGAAGATACAAATCGAACACGCGTGGTACGGATCTGACGGCGGGGGATCGAAAATCGGTACCTTTGACCCGGAAAAAACCTAGGGAAATTGAAAAGCGCGGCATGATGCG